AGTGTGGGGTGGTGGGAGGATGCCAGGGCAAGCTCAGAGCATTGCCCAGGCTCCCTGACACCCCCAGCCCGGCACAGAAAGGTCATTTACATCCAGGCTGAAAGAAGGGAGCTCCTGCAGAGAGTCTCAGCCCAGACCCAAACCTCAGACAACTCCATTTAGGACCCTTTCATCTACCAGACGTGGGAGATGACAAAGGGGTTGGGGCTGGGGACAACCCAGCTGCTTCCTCAGCCCAGAAACAGCCTCCGCAGTCACTACAACGTTGTTCAGCTCAACCTTGTCCTCCGTTTTTCTGCTCCACATTGGAAAGAATCTGTGGTAGGGCAACAAAGATGATTAAGGGATTGGAGCATCTCCCTGATGAGGAAAGGCTGAGAGAGCTGGGACTCTTCAGCCTGGAGAAGAGAAGGCTGAGGGGAGACCCCATTGATGCTGACAAGGATCTATAGGGTGGGTTGAGGGAGGATGGAGCCGGACTCTTTTCAGTGGTTCCCAGTGACAGGATGAGGGGCAACGGGCACAAGCTGGAACATGGGAAGCTCTACTCAAATCTGAGGAAGAACTTCTTTGGGGTGAGGGTGGCAGAGCCCTGGAAGAGGTTGCCCAGGGAGGGTGTGGAGTCCCCTTCTCTGGAGATCTCCAAGCCCCGCCTGGATGCTCCTGAGTGATGTGCCCTGCTTTGGCAGGGGAGTTGGACTGGATGGTCTCTAGAAGGTCCCTTCCAACTCCAACAATTCCATGATTCCGTAAATCTCTCCACTTGACGGCATCAAAAAGCCACCGAGATGCAAGAGAAAAGGCGTTGAAACCCAGAGGGGGAAGCAGGACGTACTGCAGACCTTCCTGCCAGAGCTCCCGCAGCCCCACGGAGGGGTCCTGCCTTGGGAGCGGGATGAGTTAAGGCAGATGGAGAGTGCCCAAATATTATCACTTGGAGGGCAGGAAGGACAGCATCTCACCCCCGGCAGCCACCCCCATCGGGTACCGCCGGTTTTCCAGCCAGGGTAAACACGGGGTCGCGGCGGCTCTCGGCCGGCCAGGGAAAATATCCCGTGCTGAAAGGTATGATAGGAGTCTGGCCAGCAGAGAGGGCGTCCTGCCTTTAAAATAAACACGTCTGTATTTCTTTCCAGAAAAGAAAAAGTGATAGCACTAAGATCAGACACAGAGATTTCTGGAAGACCAACGACCCCACGGAATATCGCTGTGGAGCAGCTTCACTCACTCCGAGTTATTTTCATGTTGTTTTCATCAAAACAGCCTCATCAGAAGCCCCCGGACCACGCTGGGATTCATCCTAGGTAGGCACTACACAGCTCCATTTTGGGAAACTATTTCTCAAGGTTTCATCATCTCAAATACCAGAAGAGCTTCTTTTGTAGGTGACAGGTGAGGAAAAAAAATGATTCACTCATTAACCATTACATGTCTTTCCCCAAAGCTCTCCACTCTGATGCAGCCTCCAGCCTCCCATCCCATCCTTAAAATCCATCCCAGCTGCTGGCTGACCAGCACAGAAGTTAACCACGCCGAGAACATCTAACAGTGAAAGAGAAGATCAGAATCCAGACAATTAGGCTTCTAACAGAAACTTGTCCAAAAAAGTATTTACCAGGAAAAAAAACCATTACAGTAGTCAATAAAAAATTAGGATGAGTGTGTGGCTGGGATCTTCCCGTATCCTCAGTCAGCACATTCTCTGTGGCAAGGACCGTGGCTTTTGGAAAATGCTGTGAATAATGAAAAGCATGATGAGACAGACAAAAAAAATAATGAATCAATTCTCGAGGTAGGGCTAACAGAGCATTTCCATTGGGCTTTTTGAGTTTTTCAGGAGCAACATCTGTTTAACCAGTGGGATGGAAAGAAACGTTAGAATGAAACTGTCCCAAAACATCACTGAGGATACAAGCTGGAATCCGTCACGTTAGGTTTGCCTAACAAGGGCTTCCAAAGGTCCATCCCCTTCCTTCCAGCCCTTGGAGTCCCCAAACAGCCCCGTCCAGAGGGATTTGCTGGGGGAAGCAGGAGAAGGTGGCTTTGGGATGGTTACGGACAACAGCGACCATCGTCGGGGCAGAAGGGGGTGTCAGGGGTTACTTCTGCCCCGAGCACGAAACGTAAATCACTGGGGAATGAAAATAATTTGAGATTGCAAAAGCAAAGGAACGCTCCCGAGTAGGCTGGGCTGTTTGAAAAGGCAACAGCACAATTAACACTTTATACACTGAGGTGAAGTGGCACCGAGAACGATTTATCCACCTGATTTCACGTCCTTCCCTATGGCTTGTAATTAGCTCACTCCAAAATAACGAGTTTGGGTCAGTTCCTTCCTTTAATTTCAGGTGCAGAGCTGTAACTCCTGTCTCCTCAGCCACCCCCCTGTGCTGCAACGCTGCTGCCTGGAGCAAAGCTCTGGAGAACATGGGGGGTGAGGATCCCACCACAGAGATTGGGAATTTCACACATCCATTCAAAATTGGACGGGCGCACTAGAGATGAGAGCATCAGATAAGGACCTTCACTGAGCAGCCACTAGGGACATATTTAGAGTAAAGACATTTTAAAGGTGCAAAATAAAGGCCAGAAATTCAGTAAGTTTCAAAAGCTCTTTGTTATTATTATTTTTTTTTAATCTAGTTTTGCAGTTGGGTTCTTTGCCTCTTGCTTTCCAAATGGAGGCACGTATTGGAACTTCACCACTGAGGTCAAATATCTCGAGAGAACAGTTCAACAGCCAACTCGCTTGGAATTTAAAAGAATTAAAGCAAAATTCAAAATTGCCTAGGAATGCAAGTGACAACCACAGCGTACTCACCCCAGGCTCTGTTAACTGGCCTGTTAATTGGATATTTTTTTTAAAACTCAATTTATCACATCCAAAAGGCTAAACCATCGTCCTACTTTACATGATTGCCCAAACTGCAACTATTGGAGGTTCCCCCACACCTCACTTTTAGCCAAGAACTATAATTTTCCAATTTCTTTGACAAACATTTTTCAGCCCAACCATTTAAGACGTAAAGCACCGACTTCGGGTCCCTCATCCAAGGCAGGAGGTAAGGTCAGTGCAACTACAGATGTATTTTTTTCCCCCTCCAAAACCAGCCAGCCATTTCCCTTTTAAAAAAAAAAATATTTGGGGGTCTCAGAAATGTGCGCTTTATTTTCAAAGCTGCAACCAATTACAGTTGTGGGAATTGCTAAACATTTCCAAATGGGAAAGTGCTTTTTACCTCTCAGGTTCTGCTCAGGAAGATGCCTGACCTTTATTTTATAAATATGTATGAGAGAAGCTTATGCCAAAAAAAAAAATACAGGGACAATTTCTATTTCCTAGAAAGCCCTGTAACGTGCAAACACAAACCCAAGCAGCAGCGCAGGGTCTCCAAAAATTAGCCTTGCTCTAACCCTGGAGGGGTCAAAGGATGGGAGGAAGGCAGGATTTTGAGTTCTGGGTTTAAGCTGCAGTTTTGGAGAGTCACAGGGGGGGAAATTAATTGGAGTCACATTACTACTGTGTCCGCAGCACGGCTAGTTCAGAAAAATAAAGCAAAAAAGCAAATAAACTGAAGTTAATTCTTCTACTAAGCAGCATCCTCTTCACCTTAAAACGTGGAATTTCAGCCGTTAGCATTAAAGCAGCCTCAGAGGTCTGAGAGACCAGCGGATTTAAGCCAAATTGCTCCACTTCTGGGGTTGGGGGGGGTTGTGCCTCGTGTCGGAGGGGTCCATCCCACCTCTGCCCTGGATGATGCCCAGGCTCCACTGAGATAGTTTGGCCAATTGTGGCCAAAAGGAGCCCAAAGTAGCCCTGGTTTGGATGCCCTGCAGCATGATCTGTGTGCCTGGGCTCCTTTCTTCTTTTTACCAAGGAAATGGCTTCGTTTGCCCAATTGAGAGCTTGTGTGGCACCAGCACACGGGGCAGGGGACTCAGCCAAAACACACAAACCAGTGTCCCAGTCCTGCCCAAGGGAAGCCTCTGACTGTAACAAACACCCAGGGAAGCCTCTGACTGTAACAAACACAGCTCTAATTCCCATTAATGATGCATATTAAAGAGCAAGAGAGGAACAAATACAGCCTGAAGTCAGCAGCATCGAGGAGGTGTTTGGCCAATCTGACAGCTAGAAACTTTTCTTTAAAGGCGTTACCTAAATGCGACTTAAGGGCCTTTTAAGCACTTCTAAATTGGCTCTTGTAACAGCAATTAAAGTTCCTTGAAACAGATGCACCATGAAAAATGCCACTGAGCCGGGTGGCTCAGCAGCCACAGCCCGTATCCTCTAATGATAATTCGAGTAATTGTTACTGCCCTGCACCTCGCAGAATCAGAGGGCAGAAAAGGGACAGTCGTTCCTCTCTACACCCAGAACAAGGCACATTTTTTCTCTCCCTACACCCACTGGGAGAACCATCCCAGCTCTGAGCAGTCGTGTGCTCCGGGCGATCGGCTTCCCGAATCAGAACATCTCTGAATGGCCCGACACAGGAAACTCAATAACCTCCCAGAGAGAATCTGGATATTGCAGGAAGGTTAATTAAATCAAGCTTAGCAGCCCCCAAAAATAAAGCCTTGGCCAAAGATATAACTGATCCAGCTCGTTCAGACCTCAGCTCTTTCCCCTCACTGCCGCGCTCCGTGGGCCGTGACCCCGGGGTTTCTTTGTTTGACCCAACTTTAATCAGCTTCCTTCTCCAATTCCAGCAAATCCCCAGGAATAAGGGCCATTGTACAGTACGGAGCTACATTTCAGAGCAAGTCACGATAAAGCGTTTCCTTTCCAAACATCCCAAGTTCCCCAAACATTAGAAACAATGGCCAAAAGAGTAGAGAGCGGATTAGCGGAGTTTTGCAGATAAAACAACGGCTAGGATTAAAAAATAATAATAATAATAAAAAATAACCACAACAAAACACTGGGGCATCCCTCGCTCTTTATCCTCCTGGCTTCCGACTCAAAATTAAAGGGTGAATTTGAGCAAATTTCTTACCGTACTGACAGCGAGGTCCTTGGAAACCGGAGGGGCAATGGCAGAGCTGCGACCGTCCCCCTGCGCAGGTCCCACCGTTGAGGCACAGCCCGTGGCCACAGGCAGCTGTAAGGAGGAAGGAGAGAATCATTCCCGAGGGCACAGGCTAATTCCACCCACTAATAAATAGGATGGATTCCCCCAGGAGTTATAAAACCAGAGTTGAGCCATTTTGGAAAGGCGGCTCTTTTTTGGTGGGCAAGGCGACACCCAAACATACCCAAAAGTCTCCCCAAATTTCAGCTAGGCTATAAAATACCTTAAGCAATGCCTGAGGGGCCAAAATTCGCAAGGAAACATCAGCAGAGCTGCAGGGGCGCTGATGAAATAATACTTTTCCAGCCCACAAGTGGGTAAAATAGAAAATGACTCTCGCAGAATCCTAGATCTTGGGGCAACAAAGATAAGGTGGGTTTTTTTTGGGAAATGGGAGGCATCTTTCATGGGGCCAAGCACTGGGAGCTGCTTTGCACCTCTCTGCTGGGCTCTCCTGGAGAGCTGGCTGCCCCAGCACGGGTCACCTTCCGGATGGGCGAGAGGGTGAAATAGAGCTAAACTGTACGTGAGCCCGAGCAGCCCCGATGCTCTGTTCTCACCAAGTGGAGTGTAAAATGTACACAGAGGCAGAGAATGCTCAATTAGGCTTCTGAAATCCACCTTTTCAAACCCTCTAAATAAAACCACAAACAAGGATAGGGTTGTGGGTTTTTGGTTTGGTTTTTTTTTTTTCCAGTGAAACGTAATGTTTTTCACAACTCGTGAAACGCAGCCAATATTTTATATTTCCCATTAGGAAACGCTCATCTCAGAAGGAGAAATGCTGTTAGCAAGTGATGCTGACGTGTGTGCTGGGCTTTGTCAGAGTGTAAGGATGCAGAGCAAACACCAATCTCCCTCTCTAAGTCCATTTAAAGATTCAGACAATGACATTTTCTCTCTATTCGCTGATCTGGACAGAGCTGTGTTGCCAGCCAATTCCTCTTTTCTTTCTTTTTCCTGCATTTCCTCTCCCTCCCTCCCCGTCCTTTTCGCTTTCATTGAACAAACTGTAACAAAACCCAAGAAAAATGGGATTGAGTATGAATACACCTCACAAAGGCTGTGGGAAAGCAGTTAATGGGGAGCAAAAAGAGCATCACCCAGTGTCGGGTGTCACCCCCATGGTGTTGGGATGTCGAGGTGCTGGTCCAGCAGCTCCCCCCAACCTGCCCCAAGCCCGGGCTGGGTTATGGACCCTGAGAAGTGATGGGATGGAGGCACCAGAGCTTGTGCATCTTGGACAGGAACGTGCTGCAACTGCCACCAGCGGCACCGTCACCTGCCTCAAGAGCCCTCGAGTCCTGTTGATCCAAGCTGATGGGTCCAGGGAAGGTAATTATTTCAAGCTGATGAAGTTACACAAGGCAGAGCTGGCGATCCTGGAGCTGTTGGCTCAGAAAGGCAGATTCACTAGAAGGTGCACAGAATGGGGACAAGCAGGAAAAAGCCAACAGAGCCAAGTGGGGCTCACGCTGGGACCTACTGGAGATGGTGACCCAGGCTGCTGCCCACACCGTCCCGGCTGGAACCACTCGCCAGGAGAATAAGTGAACCATCACCCTGCAAACACACACTGTGTCCTCGGGGAGATGCCAAGTCTCCTCTGCTGAAGCAAACAGGAGATTTTCCCTTGGCTTTAGTAGAAGAAATTAGGGGGGAAAATGAGCGCAATGCTTTTCTGCTGCTAAGAGAGTCAGGGGTTATTCCAGTCCCAAGGCACACGTGGGGCTAGAGGAGCTGGTGTAGGTTGGTCACAAGCCACCAGTGACCCCACTCCAGCCCCACGGCCAGGATTTGCCCCGGGAAGGTGCCACTGGCTTTGCTGACACAGCAGAGGAACATACAGCAGTTCATAGAATCATAGAATCATTCAGGTTCGGAAGGTGCCTCTGGCTTTGCTGACACAGCAGAGGAACACACAGCAGTTCATAGAATCATTCAGGTTGGAAGAGACCCTTGGGATCATTGAGTCCAACCACCTACCCTACTCTACAAAGTCCTCCCCTACACCATGTCCCTCAGCACTGCATCTAAATGGCCCTTAAACACAGCCAGGGATGGGGACTCAACCACCTCCCTGGGCAGCCTGTTCCAATGCCCGACCACTCTTTCTGTGAAAAATTCCTTCCTAATGTTCAGTCTAATGTCCTTCAGTCCTAATGTTCAGTTCTTCACACTCCAGAAAAGCACCTTCCAGAGCGACACCAGAACTGGCCACCCCTCCAACCTTCAGCAGCCACACTGCAAGCCAGCGGGCTGCCCGGGTGTGGGCAAAGAATGTTTTCAAGGATTTCACTTTGTAAAGAAAAAAGTGACATTTTTGACCAATTTCAACGTCACGCCATGTCTGCAGCTCCTCAGGCTGAATCCACATCAACCAGGAAAACAGAGCAGCAGCATCTCCTGCATTGGTGTTATCTGGGCTAACGAGTGCAGACAGACCAAATGAACGAATAAAGAAGTAAAAGCTCATGGAAAAGCCATATTTTTTTCTTCTCTAAAGCTGCAAGGCTGCCAGTTCTGCATCTTTAAGGAAAAAGCTGGAGAATTAAAAACATCATCTCCAGCCTGGGAAGTGACTGTCACCTACTCAGTGGGGTTCAGCGAGGTCCCCAGGCCAGTGGAGAAGTCCCCAGCCAGAAGGTTCCAGACCCTGCTCAACTTAAGGAAAAAGCTGGAGAATTAAACACATCTGCAGGCTGGGAAGCGACTGTCACCTACTCAGTGGGGTTCAGCGAGGTCCCCAGGCCAGTGGAGATGTCCCCAGCCAGAAGGTTCCAGACCCTGCTCAAGGCCAGTGATGAAACAGCACCTTTGCTGTTACCAACTGAACATACACAGCCTGGGATTTAACTACAAACCTACCCCTGATACGGAACCACCTGAAAACAATGGTTTTTTGAACAGCTCTCCCTGGGCAGAGGTTTCCCCAAGCACCGTCTCGGTAACTTTTCCCTCCTCTTTGCAAGTTGGGAGCCCCCTGGTTTCTCTTCCCCTTCCAGCTAAAGCTGTCACTAATTAGTAACAGAAAAAAAAAGCAGGTCTGTGATTACACATTTCATTTTGTGTCATTATAAGAGGGGAGGAAAGGCACCCCGTGCAGGCTTCACAAACCACTCCAGATACTTGGCACAGAGCAGTGGGTGCCTTATTCCAAAACACCAATTGTGCATTCAAAACACAAAACAGAAAAGGAATTGCAGATGGAAACAGTGCAAGGAAGCGTTTGCATTTTTGCAACATTGGCAGGACATTTTGTGCACACAAGAAGATAAATCTGCATCGTTATCAATGCATTTCCAGAGCTAATTTGGAACGTTAAGACATACGCACAAGATCAAAGATGGGGAAAGCAAGTGGTACCTGCACAGAGGGAACCCAAAGCTCGTGTCCTCGCAGCTCCCAACGCTGAAAGGTTTAATCTGCTGCACAAAGCCCATCCACAGCTTGCCTGAAGCTGCCTGGAATTCTCAAATACTCTGCCTCCTCACCACTGTTTGGACAGCCACCTTGTTTTGGGGCTCAGGGAAAGCCCAGTGACTGGGTCAAACCCCAAGGTTGGCCAACCCCTGGGCACTAGACTGTCAGGTATTCACACAATTCTTACCACAATGCAATCAGTTACAACCTCCTCTACGTGGGCATCTAACAATCACATTACTAAGCTTCCCACTATTCTACCATTGAATCCTCCACAGACCAAGCACTGGCTCTGGTTTTTCCTGCAGGAACACAATTGACTTCCTCATTGCCCCCTTGTGCTAAATCCTGATGCTGCCTCACACAACACTTTCTCCCCGGGCTGTGGCGTTTAGGGAGGTTTTGTGAAGGTTTAGATGAATATGACGTTCTACAAATTTGCACGTTTGCCATTAAAAGACACTCTCTTCCTAGAAAAAGCCACGTATCTACTCTAAGGATATTTGCTCTGTCTCTTCTTTCCCAACACAAGGGTCGGAGCCCGGGTCCAGGCTGGGGAGGTGGGAGCTCTGACCCAGCTCCACTCGCCCACCCAAGTGAGAACTTCTTCCAAGTCTCCTTCTCACCAATCACCCACCTCCCCACACTTTGCACCTTAGATGCGCCAGAGCTGAAATACTTAAGCCTCAGCCTTGGCTCTTTTAAGGACCTGGTGATTTTTCTCATCCACCCCTCTCAAAAAGAGATTCTTTAGTAGCACAAAGGCAGCATTGAGAGCCAAATAATCATCTACCCAAATTAATGAAACAGTGATGAAACGCTTCAAAAAGCCAGTTATCGTCTCATCTAATGTTTTAGTCGCTTTTCATTGCCACGGGTCCGTGGGGACCGTGGTGGTCCCCTATCAATCCCGTGCTGGTCTGCTGGTGTGGAACACTGGAAGCTGGGAAACCCTTCCATCCCCAGCACCTCGCTGGGCTGAGCGATGCCCGGGATCACAAACACTTCCCTCGAGCATCCTCCTGCCTGGAAAAGCAGGAAGAGCTCCTGGTAGCCAGCATTTTGCTGCAAATCCCATCCCCAGGTGCGTGCCAAGATTTTCTAGGGCTGCAGCCTTAGTTTTGCTAGCTCTGGTCCTGCGAGACGGGCTGTCTTCTGCTTCCTCCCTCCTCTCCTTCGGGCTTCTATTAGATGGAATAGACTGAGAGGCCAAACCGTATAATAAGGCAGTTTGGTTTTCCCCGAATCTTTCACCTTAATCACCAAAAACCCAGCCTTTAGACGGGGTCCCAGGGAAGCTCACCCTGCCTGCCTGACGCCCTCTTCGCCGGCAGCGCTGGGCTCCGCGAGCCCCCGGAGCACAACAATGGAAAATATTAGGAGCAATTGCAGCGACACAAATCAGGGATTAGGAGATAGGGGTGTTGTTCTTGGCTGTGTCCCAGATTCCCTGAATGACCCGGACAATTCCCTGCTCTGTGCTTCGGGTTGGCACATAGAGAGTGGAAACCATAATAACCTACTTCCCAGCCCGGTGGGGTTGGGGGGTCGGCGCCTCTCCCTCCCCTGCGCTTCCCAAGCCTTCTGCAAACCCGCTCCTAATTCAG